TGTATGTAATTTCAGGCTGAATGGTTTCTTTCTTCATGAAATAAATCCACATTTGGTCAAGACGTGTCAGAGGGGAGGAAATTAATTGCATCCTTTAGCTAGGAAAGCTTGATTGCATTCTTTGTTTGGCCGATTCTAAACTTGGCTCCCAGCCAAGCATATGAACTTCCCACTCCACTAAAGAGAAAGGACTGAGCTACATGGTTTCAAATGTATGTTTACAAATGCTTTTCCTTAGTTGTTACTTTATTTTTCCATAGAAGAAGCATATAGCGGCAAGGTGTTTGAGTGTGTTTGGTAGTATTGGCCCTCCTTCTTAGGGCCAATACTGGCCAAAGTCACCCAGTTGGTATCACCTTTAAGGTGGGACAAGAACTCACAGTCTCCTGGTGTCTTGCTTGGTGCTTTCACCACCCCCACCAAAACTGGCTTTATGATTTTAAGGTAGTCTAGGCAAAAAAAGGTACAAACAGAACCTAAGAAGCTTCTTAGAAGAGCAGTGAAACATTTTCAAGGAAACATTTCAAACACTTTCTCCAAATGTTTCAGATGTTTTCTTCAGAACTGAAGAAGCTTCTTGGATGAGAAACAAAACTTTTTCAAGGGGGAAAAAATAGCAAGAAAGTCCAGTGGCCTTTTGAAAAGTACTTTTGGGATACGAAAATCAGTGGTAGAATTCAAAATTGTTTACTCCCGGTTCTGTGGGTGTGGCTTGGTGGGCATGGCAGGGGAAGGATACTGCAAAATCCCCATTCTCTCCCCATCCCACTAACCTACTTTCCAGCTCCGTTCTCCTGTGCAGGGCAACCAAAGCAGACCCAGCTGATTAGCTGGGACTCGATGGGAGGCAGAGAAGAAATGGGGTTGGTGGGGCCAGTCAGAGGTGGGATTTGCCAGTTTTCCAAACTACTCAAAATTTCCGCTACCGGTTCTGCAAAACCGGTCAGAACCTGTTGAACGCCACCTCTGATGAAAATCTAGGGTTTCTCCTCCATCTTCCAAATTTCCATGTAGGACACCCTAGACCCCCACAAAGACAAACCAGCCTTGATAGACCTGGTACATATATACTTACATGCAACATGCTAGAAGAGCAGCAACAGTAGGAATAGTGTCAAGGGTTAGGACTCCAAAAACAGCTGAGAAGTGTGTCTTGCTAACCTCTCTTTCCTAAACTGCAGAAGAGAAAAAAAAAGAATTGAAACCATTGCATCATTAAAGGCAAATCTTGGGGAAGTCACTATAACTGCCAGAGAATTAGAAATATTATTTTAGGGGAAAAAAAGAAAGAAAAACCAGCAAAATCCAAGCAGCTAAACTATTTCAATACTGCCTCTAGGACTCTTTGGAGAGAGAAGGGGATGGGGCAAGGATACAGTGTTGTTGTTGGCTCCACACCCCAAAAGGCAGATGAATGATCCTTGTTTGTTTTAGGAAAATGGGCTCTCTTCCTTTCCTAAAACAATGGGAGTTTGCAGCTTCCACTTTGGCTGGCTGGGAAGAGTGGAAGCTTCTCATCAACTGCTATCACAATAGCAGGCTGGTGACTCATCTGGCTGGCTGGAGTTTGAACGCTAAGCAAGTTTGGCCCCCAAGGAAAACACTACGAAATCCTTGGGCCCTTAAGTTGGGAGGGAGGAATGATCCTAGAAGAACGTCAAAAACTTCATGAGGTGTCAAACTGTGTCCAGTTTTGGTCACAACATTATAAAAAAAGATGCTGAGACTCTAGAAAAAGTGCAGAGAAGAGCAACCAGGATGATTAGGGGACTGGAGGCTAAAACATATGAAGAACGGTTACAGGAACTCACCCTGGCTAGTCTAGGGAAGAGAAGGACCAGGGGAGACATGATGGCAGTCTTCCAGTATTTGAGGGGCTACTACAGAGAGGAGGAGGGGATCAAGCTATTTTCCAAAGCGCCTGAAGGCCAGACAAGGAACAATGGATGGAAACTGATCAAGGAGAGATTCAACCTGGAAATAAGGAGAAACTTTCTGACAGTGAGAACAATCAACCAATGGAACAGAAGTTGCCCTCTGAAGTTGTGGGAGCGCCATCACTTGAGACTTTAAAAAAGAGATTGGACTGCCATCAGTCAGAAATGATATAGAATCTCCCGCTTGGGATGGGGGTGGTGGACTAGATGACCTTCAAGATCCCTTCCAACTCTGTTATTCTGTTCAGCATTACTTGGTTGTGTGTTTTCCTTTTTCCTTTCGTTTTTCCTTTCCCTTCCCTTCATCTTTCCCATCTCCTTTCTTCTCCTCTTCTCCTCTCCTTTCTTTTTCTTCTCTTCACTTTTCCTCTCTCCTTTCTTCTCTTCACCTTTCCTTTCCTTTCTCTACTCTCCTTCTCTTCACCTCTCCTTCTCTTCTTTCCTCTCCTTTTCTTCTTTCCTTTCCTTCTCTTCATTTTTCCTTCTCTTCACCTTCTCTTTCATTTCCCTTTTCTCCTCTCCTTTTCTTCTCTTCACCTCGCCTTCTCTTCACCTGTCCTTTCTTTTCTCTCCTCTCCTTCACCTCTCCTTCACTTCCCCTTTATTTTCCTTTCCCTTCCTCTTCTCCTCTCCTTCCCCTTCCCCTTCCCCTTCCCCTTCCCTTTCACCCTTCCCCCTTTGCCCTTCCCCCTTCCCCAACTGCTCCATTGTTAACTTTTCCCTGGTTTCTTCAATTTTCCACTCAAATCCCACCCCTCCTCCAGTCCCTTTTAGCAGAAAAACCTCTTCTTCTTACCTTACAGACACCTACCAAATGTATTATTATTTCCAGCTAAGAGGCTCGATTTCCCCCTTCCCCACTGTAGACCAGCCAGCAACTGCCTTGTTTAGCAACCCTTTGCAGCAGCAGGAGGAATGCAAAAGCGGGTTTGCAAACCAGTCACCACATTTGCAAACCGTGCAGCTCCGCAAAGCAACGGGAAAGCTGAACTTGTGTCATGCCGCACCTATTGCTTCAACCATTCTGCAATCTGGGCTGAATTGGCATCGTTACCCGATTGCATTCCAAAAACTCCAGGGAAACAGGTAGGAAAGTCAGAATTCCCTTCTCCTTCCTGTTCCTGCTATGCCATTACATTTTGAGAAGGGTTTTCACATAGTTTTCTGCCACTCCCCAAGGCCTGCCGTGGATTCTGTGCACTTCCACTTAAAAAGACACATGAAAGCAATCATCCCAACTTTATTATGCATGCTTTGCTTTCCAATTTATATATATTTTTAAACCAAAATGTGCACCTGATAAGAACTAATGTATTTATGGATTAAAGCACTTTACACTCCTTATCAAAATCCTGCGATAATTTTATGATCATATTACAACTAAGCTGGCTCACTTTGGTTTTTTTTTTTTTTTTTTTCAGATTTGCAGACTTGGAAGGGACCTTGTAGGTCATCTAGTTTAACCCCCTCCTGCCCAAGCAGGAGATCCTACACCATTTCTGACAGATGGCAGTACAGTCTCTTCTTGAAAGCTTCCAGTGATGAAGCTTCCACAACTTCCGAAGGCAACTTCAGTTCCATGGGTTGATTGCTCCACAGGATGCCCGCATTTCCAGTTGTTCTATTTAAGCCTTAAGAAAAAGGCCCCTAACAGGACAAGAAATCCTTGCTCTATCTCTTATCTTTCCATCAAGAGCATCTGGGTTTGTTTATAAGGTCCGCCCTGAGTCTGAATAAGTCTATAATTGCATAAGGCTGTGGATCTCCTTATGTTTGAGGTGCTTAAATAATCCTGGTTCTAGACTACACTGTTTACCTGAAAATATGACCCTATCCTGAAAGTAAGTCCTAGCTTGATTTTTACACATCCGCCCAAAATAAGCCCTAATTAAGATCTCACCACTCCAGAGTGGACAGGTAAAAGTTAAGCTAGGGTGGGGATGGGTGGTGGTGGAGCTGCCCTACTACTTACCTGTGGACAGTTGTAGCCAGGCCTCGCACACCCCGACACCTGCCTGGCCAGCCCATTTCTTCTGCAGCTGGCAAGGCTGGCAAGGCTTTCCTGGAGGCCTCTGTAGCTGATAAGAAAGTTCCAGATCAATCCAGAGCTCCCTTATTGGCTGCAGAGGCCTTCAGGAGAAGCCTTGCTGGCCGCAGAAGAAGAAGTTCCCGAAGGCCTCTGACAGCAAAAAGGAGACCAGGGGCAATGCGCACAAGTGAGGTTAGTCAGTGGATGACATCCCCTGAAAATAAGACCCGGTGCCTTTTTTGGTGGCAAAAAAATATAAGACAGGGTCTAATTTTGGGGGAAACATAGTAGCAATTCTTCCTCTCCCTGAAGGATGCCTTTTTTCCCAAAAAATATATGGTTGAAAATTTGCTTTGACATGCTAATAGAGCAGGAGTGTCAAACTGGATTTCTTGGAGGGCCGTATCAGCATTTTAGTTGTCCTCCATGGGGCAGACAAGGGTTTGAGGGGGAGGAGATGGGACGGACGGCCTCCTGCAGCAACCTGACAGCCAAAATGGGGCACAGGGGCACGCCCCCCCCACACCCTGTTTCTGTTGGCAGAGTGCTGCAGGAGGCTGTCCAGGCTGAAAACAGGGTGTGCAAGGGCCACCCACGGCTCCCTCGTGCCCAGTTTTTGCTAGAAGAGGCACTGGGGGCCAGTCCGTTGCTATTTCCAGACTGGCACCATGGGCCAGTTGTAAACACCCCATGGATCTGGCCCGCCAGCCTTGAGTTTAACACCCCTGCAAATAGAGTCTTTAAGGTTCATGGTTCTTCTTCAAAATATGATCCCAGAAAATTTTGGAGGACACACCTCTAAAGTAGAACCTCTCCTTTTCAAGTCCCAACTCTGAACAAGCCAGCCAGTTTCTCTGTAATGAGTTTCCAAAAGCTTTTAAACTATTATATCATCAACACTGTTCAAGGGGACAGCTCCAGGATACTTTGCTTCCAGTAACGCATGCCAGTTATTTCAACTCCCACTATTAAATATATATATTGGGAAATCAAGACTCACTGTTCTACTGTTGAGAATTCCCAAAAAATACTGACTCGGAGATGAACGGAAAATAAATTAGAAATGGTTTAATTTCAGAAGGAAATTAATACACCTTTGGGGAAGTCTCCTTCCTAAAGAAAAAGCCCTAATAGATCTGAATTGTCATCTGCACCTCTATAACTGTCTGGTTTGGTTCTGCAGCCCAACAGGACGGACACAGACATCAGAGAGTAATTAGGCTGCAGAAAAAACAATTGCTACCAACCTGCCTCTCACTGAGGGCCTGTATATTGCACCCCGAGTTAAAAAGAGGGCTGTGAAAATATTTACGGACCCCTCACATCCTGGACATAAACTGCTTCAACTCCTACCCTCAAAACAATACTATAGAGCATTGCACACCAGAACAACTAGACACAAGGACAGTTTTTCCCCCAAAGGCCATCACTCTGCTAAACAACTAATTCCCTCAACACTGTCCAACTATTTACAAAGTCTGCACAACTATTACTGTTAATCTACTCATCACTCCTTATTGCCCATCCCCTCCCACTTTATGACTATATGACTGTAACCTTGTTGTTTGTACCCTAACAATTTTTATTGATTTCCTCTTATGATTTGATTGCTTATTGTACCCTATGACTACCATTAAGTGTTGCACCTTATGATTTTTGACTCTTGACAAATGTATCTTTTCTTTTATGTACACTGAGAGTATTTGCACCAAGACAAATTCCTTTTGTGTCCAAGCATACTTGGCCAATAAAGAATTCTATTCTGTATTCTATTCTATTAATCGCTCTTCTAAAGTTTTCAGAAGAAGATTGCAAAATTCACGCAGGATAAAGCTATCAATAGCTCCTGATCAAGAGAGCTATATATTACCTTCAGCACCAAAGCCAGAATCAGATTGGAAAACATGAGCAAGCTATTCCTTTGATGTTGATGTGCTCTCCATGAGAACAGAATGTTGATCATGAAGAACCTTCCTATGTGATCTTGGGAGGCTCTCTTTACATTCTTTAGCACTAAAATAGGGAGCACCTCAGTAGACCTACCTTGTCCTTCATTGTATCACAAAAGTTCACCTGCATTCCACAGAAGATGGCAGCAGTCATGCCTATGAACGATTTTGGGGGCATTCTATTTATGGAGAATTAAGGCCTGGGCATTTTAGAACCCTACTTTCTCAGTGAAATGACAAGAAGAAGACCGTTACAAAAACAAAAAGCAATCTAATTGTGCCATTCCCATTTTGAATGAAGCGTTTCAAACAAGTTAGATTTAGAAGCACTTAATAGCCAGACAGACAATGTACACTGCATATATTGTCTGCACAAATAAAAGATTTTGCAAAAATTCTTGAACTGCGGCATTTCACGATATTGAGATCTGTGCTGAGTAGTTTGTGTACTTGCACTACACAGTATAGCTGCACTGAATAGTTGTTGGATATATATTATCAAGTATATTTGTACTGAATAGTTTAAGCAGAATAGAGCTGGAAGGGACCTTGGAGGTCTTCTAGTCCAACCCCCCTGGCTCAAGAAGGAGACCCTATACTATTTCTTTTATGTACACTGAGAGCACATGCACCAAGACAAATTCCTCGTGTGTCCAATCACACTTGGCCAATAAAGAACTCTATTCTATTCTATTCTATTCTATTCTATTCTATTCTATTCTATTC